CTTTGTAGCAACTTTTTAGATTTTGTGTATGTATTGTATGTACCCACCTCCCTTTGCCCTACCCATCCCCTCCCCCTCCCCACACTCAACCACCGGTTAAGACTTGCCAATTTTATGTCTATAGAATGTGGAGAAGAGATGGAGAAAGCTGATAACACTACTATTAAAATGTTCATACTTTTTTAAAATTTTTTTCTATAGCATCTATTGTAGCTGATATTTTAATGGTCATTGTCTTTTTAACTTGATAAATCCTTGATTGTTAATTAACTTTTCTGTTTCAAATTTTATGTTCAGTGTATTACACACTGAAACTGCACTTAAACTCAAAGCAATTTGTAGGGGGTGAGCCTAGGGGAACATGATCATATCTGCTGACAAATCTGCTTTTTTATATTGGATAGTCTTGTGATCAAAACAGGAAACAACAAGGAAGGCAACAATCAAATTTATATTGAACATAGCGAAATATGAATTGTCATCACAGACAAAAGCAAATTTTGGTCAGCTGTTAATGATGAAAACTGACTAGAACGTTATATGATTGGAAAATTATAAAATTCAGATCATTTCATTTGGTAACGTATTGTACTTGGTAAAGCATTCTTTTTCCAGGTTTTGATTCAGATGACACATAGTATTTACATTTAAAAATTGACAATTTTAATACAGAATTTTTATTGAGAGCCTGGTTTGAATAACGAGGAATCAACGTAACTCATGTCTGTCTAGCACTTATTATACAAATATTTTTAATATAGCGCACAAATCCATCTAATGTAAGATACTCAGGGCACTTGAAATGTGGACTATGAACTCGATCAATGGATGAGGTCTACTTTTTTTGGAGATACAGTCCCAACTTAGCATTCAGTTTTTGTTTTAATCAGTTTTGTCTGGTTGACATAATTATAGAGACATCATGTGTTTTGCCTAGGATATACTGTATCAATACTAAAACTATAATATATCTTAACATGTGCTAGATATTATAAAACAATTAATAACTATAATGTCTTTTTCCAACTTGGTCACCTCAGCCTCAATTCCAACCATAGTGGGGGGGGGGGCGAGGGATGATGTGGACGTCATTTTACACACAAATATGGGTATCACTTTTATTTGTCACAAATTTGATAGTGTAGCTTAAGATTTCATCAATTACCTATAACATAAATATTAAGTATGCATACTTATATTTCCCAGATCAAACAAAACATCACATATTAATAACAAGAAAAATAATAAACTCATTATTATTCTAGCGGATTGTTAAAAAGAATAGATTTACTGCTAATTTAATGCTAAGAATAATATGTGTTCATGATGCTAATTATGTATAGCCCGAAGCTATGCAACAAATGATCCTATTTGATATGTCAAAACAAAATCAAGTAGATTATACTAATTTTATTTGGACAGTAAGATAAAACATGTGCAAAATGTATTTTTACAAATTGGAATTCCTGATATGCTAAACCAGTGTAATCAAAAGGTATGCAGACAGGAAATATTCTAGAAGATCAAGTTCAAATCACACCTGAAGCTACAGTCTCATTAACGAAGGAAGGGAATTAGTTAGCAAGGTAATAAGAACCTAAAGCTATATAACATCCTGTGATATCTCGGCCTACTGTTCTGCTCTATTTATATTAAATATTATGTCATGTGGTAATGTTTTTTTAGACAATGTATCCAGTCGATTAATGCTGACATAGAGTATTGTACACAGACTGGTCCCAGCCAAGGATAAACTGCAATTTTTTCCAGTCAAGTTTTTCTCAGCGGATTTATCATCCTGACCCCATGCTATTTGAAATAAGCTTGTGGGCCACTTAAGTTTTTGCCTCAAATCCAAGATGGCCAAAATGGACAATTATTTGAAAAAATGTAGCATATTATTCAGTTATGTCAATGTTTTTTCAGTTGATTTGTCACCTGGTACATAAACCATTCAAGATCAATCGAGGGTCACCCAGAAATTGGCCTCAAATCCAAAATGCCTGCCAAAATTCAAAATGGCCGCAAAAATACAATAATTCCAGATTTGCAGGTTATTATTTGGTTTCAACTGTTGATGTTTTATCAGTGGATTTGTCATCTGGAACATAAACCTTCCACAGTCAATCGAATGCCACCCAGAATTTGGCCTCAAATCCAAAATGGCCGCCAGAATTAACTTAATTCAGTAAATTCTGCCTATTATTTGTTTTTTTTTTTTTCAGTGAATTTGTTAATCCTGAATTAATTTAATTAACTTTAAGGCCACCTAAAAGTTGACTTCATATTCAAGATCGAAACCAAAATGCAAAAATGGCCACCAGAATTACCTTATTAAGATGTATATTGCCAGAAAATTGTGTAAATACTTTTTTACGGGGATCTTCATCTAGAACCTGTATCTGTAAAAATTTATTAGAAGGCCATACACACACACCCACACCCCCTGCCACACACACACTTATATATCTGTTAAATCATCAAAGAAAGGTAAATACAGTGTTCAAATAAAGGACATAATAATACACCGTGTAGCATAGCTCTTAACGAATGTAGTCCTGTAAATAAATGAATAAAGAAATTGTGTAATAAAATGCCTCTGGTGGGACTCGAACCTACAACCTCTCGCTGTCAAGGCAAGCGTCATAACCATTAGACCACGGAGGCTTCATGGTTAAACAGATTCAAATACCACCAGATACACTCCATTACACAATAAGTAC